TGAAGTCTATTTCTTGTTATATGAAAAACAACTTTATGAAAGTTATATGTATCTACATATGTTTGGGTACACACATAGAAATTGTGATTTGTTTTCTGGCTATTTTGAGTTGGAATTTTTAAATATTGTTTAAGGCAGGGTTTCACCAAGTAGACCCGGCTGCCCTCAAACTCAGAGAGATCCATCTGTCTGTGCCTCCCTAGTGTTGGGATCAGAGGCATGCACACTGTGCCTGAGTGGACATCTTAATTTCAGAGTTTTCATCACTTATTGGGATACTTAGCTTGTCCTTCTGCGACTCTTCTGTGATGGGGAGAACACCCTTGGCTGCTGCTTGGGGACTCTGCCATGACTGTGTGACTGTGGCTGTTGTAGGTAGGAAAGACAGACTGATCATAGGTGTGTGCTATGGCATATGAGATGTCAGCACTGAGCAGACTTGGAGGGGGGACTGATGGCTTTCCTGGTCCTAAGCTGACAAGTATAAAGTGTGTATGTTGGTTCCTTAAAGAGACTTAGAAACTGTCAGACCAGGCTTCCTTTGGGAGATTCAACATCACTTTCTTCTTCCTCTGATGAACCCCAGTGTTACTCTTGCCTGCCAGACATGTTTATCTGGTCATTACTTCTGGAACTTTCTTTTCTCTCTTTATAACCCTTCATATTAGCCTCCTTGTGAATGTTTTCTATCTCCTTAAGCCATTCCCATCTCAGCTCATCCTAGAAGCCTTGATAAAGCTCCCCTTTCAGTACAGCCACCTGGAGAACGTGTCTATACTATTGGTGTGGCACAGAAATCTCAAAACACAAACATAAAGGCTGAGCATATCACTCAGTGGTAGAACAGCCTACACGGGCAAGGTGCTTGGTCCCATCCTCAGTACCTAAGACAGTCTGTTCATCTGTCATCTGTTTCCTATATCTGTAAGAGAATAAAATGAAAAGTCAACCACTGTGTTGCCATGGTATTGAACTCTGACTAACAGTAAGTGTTCCTGGGTGATGCTGTTGCCACTGATTCAGGGACCAGATCTTGCTAAAGCACTCAAACTGACATGCTGTTCCTTGGGTGCTGATTTTTGCCAGTCCTGGGGTTTTTCATCCAGCAACAGCATGTTCATTAAAGCTGGGAGCCATGAAGCTGTGTTCGCCGTTGACCGAGTTTCAGTTGGGAACATTAGCATAGATTCTGAGCCGAAGGTGTAACTTCCTGGTGCAGTGCCTGCTTAGCATGTTCAGTCTGTGGTAGCATGCACACCTAGCGTGCGCACACACACAGGCAGACACACAGACACAGAGACACGGACAGACACATATACAGAGACATACACACATAACACACACCGTAAAAACCTTATGGTTTATATAGAGATGAAAACACAACTCTTAGGGCATTTTAGTCATTCTGTATGTAAAATTGGGGGCAGGGCGGTGGGTGGGTGCAATGCACCATTGCAAAGCTCACATGGTTTAATTATTTCAATTTTGCTTCGAGACTGAACTTTGCTAACTTACCATTAAAGCTCAGAATAACTTGAAAAACAAAACAAAAAGCAGGCAAGTGGGGGAAATGATGGCATCATAGCTAATGTCAAGCAGCCTCAGCCAAGCACTGTATGATTTGACCTGACCTAGCATTTTAAATTTGAGGTTTACTGTACTGTTTACCTTGAATGCTATTACCACCATTATTTTGTTCCTTGGTAAACTGTGGTCTTGATGGGAGGAGCTCACCTGGTTATTCGGCAGACATGGAGAAAGTGTGCTGAGCCTCTGTCTTAGACTCTTGGTGCCCTGGGTTCTGATTTCTTTCTTTCTTTCTTTCTTTCTTTCTTTCTTTCTTTCTTTCTTTTTTTTTTTTTTTTTTTTTTTTTTTTTGCCTGCCACCCTGTTTTGTTTTCTTTAGTAAGAATATGGCTTTTGGGGCACAGGCCCAGGTCTCCAGGTTTTCCCACCATAGGAGCAGGTGTACATATGTAACATGCTTTCCATTTGTGCCTGAGATTGCTTGGGAAACGACCCACCAATACTTAGGGCTGGCCGATCGACTACTTCATTCATCCATTTCTTGTTTTTAATGTCTGCATGATTTGTCAATTTTTTTGAGAAGTTTATGTTGCTTTTGTAAGGTGATAAAGAATAAATGACCTGTTACTGAAAACAAAAGGATTAGATACCAAAAATTAGCAATTATGCCACTGAATTGTTTTATTTTGTTTTTGATGTGTGTATATGAGAGGTTCCGTGTATTTTTTTTTTTTTTTTTTTTTTTTTTTTGAGACAGAGTTTCTCTTTGTAACTTTGTAGACCAGGCTGGCCTTGAACTCCTGGAGATCGGCCTGCCTCTGTCTTCCAAATGCTGGGATTAAAGGCGTGTGCTACCACCACCCGGCAAGGCCCTGTGTATTTATGTGCACCATTTGTGTGCCTGGTGCCTGCAAAAGCCAGAAGAGGGGGCATTGGATCCTCTGGCATTGCAGGCAGTTATGAGCCACGTGGGTGCTGGGGACTGAACCCAGGTCCTCTTGCAAGAGCCGCAAGTGCTCTTAACCCATGAGTCATCTCTCCAGCTTCAACCTTGTTTTGTATAAGAAAATAATGGGGAGGAGGGGAGGTGGCTTGCCAGTGCAAGTTAGTTATAGAACCCAATGGTGGATGGATTTGGATCCTGTCCCGAAAAGGGGGCTGCTGTCTTTAAAATAAGGCTGTATGGAGGGTTCAGTTGTAGACTTGGTCCAAAACTTCCAGAGCTTGCCCTTTGAATGCACACACCTTCCCTTGGCTGTTTTCTCTTCCTTCTATCAGACATGTATCCAACACCATCCCCTGAGTGTTTTGGACCACATCATGCTGGGAATTTCTCCCGGTGCCTCTTCTTCATGCCTTGGTATTCTGGACCCTTCTCTGGGTCTTAACTATGAAGTAACAAGAGCTGTGGCTCTTGGGGCTTCAGTTTTTACCTCGTGTTTATGCTACTTACAAAGCAGTCATTTGTTGCTCTCTTTAGTTAAAAACACTGCTCAGGATCTGGTATTATGCTAGACATAGGGGGCACGTGGCTGCCTGGAGGGCTGGTGCTTCTTGCAGGATCATCTGGCTATTTGAAACCGTCATCCATCTCTGCTTGCTCGCTCGCTCGCTCGCTCGCTCCAAGCTGTTTAGCAGGCCAGATGCTGTCGCTTCTTTAACACCACAATGGAAAATCACTTGACCAGCTCTGGATTTGTGTGGTTGCTGAGTGTGGGTTGACACTGCAGCTGAACCCTCTGCAGTCTGTGTTGCCTTTGGCTTCTGTGGAGCTGCATCTGCTTTCTTTAGTTCGTGCCTTAGCGCCATCCCATCCCCCAGATGTAGCCATTGCTGGGCAGTGATTCCGGATTTTAGCTTCCAGGCTCAGTGGCTTCCAGGAAGTCTCAAGCTCCTTACTTTGACTCAGCCCTGTACCTCATGCCCAGTGTCTGAATTAGACAGGACATGTCCCTCTCTCACTCTACCACACCCAGACTCCTGCTCGTCACCTCCCCTTTATCTTCGGCCCTGATGTCTCATCCTCTTCCAGTTCTTGTCATGCCTCATGTGTCCCTATATCGGGCTACCCTTACGTTTGTAGCCTAACATGGTCCCGTCTGATAGTGATGTTCCCTAGTTGGGCTTTCTCATCTCCTTCACCTTTCCCAAGAATTGCCCTCGGGTGGGGCTCCCACAGCACAGCTCGGTCCACTAACTCTCCAGCTCACAGATCTTCATTGATTCCTGTTACATCCCATCTTGAGAACTAGATAAAGGCTTTCCAGGCCTGGCTCCATCTGCCCAGTCTGTCCCTGCCTTTCCTGTTCTTCACCTGCCTTTATCTTTGTCCATGTTCTTTTCTCCTTCTCATTCCCCACCTCTTGTTTTACTCACCCCCTGCTTCCGCCTCCGCCTCTGCTAGGGATTGAACCCAGGGCCTCACCAGTCAGCCCTGTCTTCCTTTTCCAGGGTGTGGCTTGGGGCTTGGTAATGTATTTATTTTTTTTCCTGCAAAGGCCCAAGTCTTCTCCAAACTGCAAGTTAACCTTTCTCCATCCTCCGAATTTCCATAACAGTTTTGTGGGTGTTTCTGTTACGCTGGGTGGCAGTATGCTTGGAAGTCCCACCCCAACTTTCACCCTGCACTGTAGGCTCCCAGTAGGTTGCATGGGTGGGGGTGGGGGGTGGGGCCATTTCAGGGGGCTGGCTCATCTCTTAGAGCATTGTTTAGTGAATGTCCATTGGATTGAGGCCAGAGGCATTAGTTCAGTCTCTTATTTAGACAGGATACAGTTGAAACCCTCCTCCATGTCAGCTGAAGAATCAGCAGATCGTTTGTCACTGAATCTCTAGATTCTTGGCAGATCCTGATGAATGCAACGGGCTGGCTAATTACTCCAGAGGGGGAAGGGACAGCAAAACCGATTCTCTTCTCAGTTATGTGAAAAAGCCTTGTTGCAACACAGCATTGATTGGCTGGCTGGTCCACAAAAGTTCAAGTAGTGCTAACTGTGCTTTTGCAGAACAAGTCGGTCTGTTCCGGGTCCACATTCTAGTCCATGTTAAAGAACATAGTACACACCCTGGAAGGACATAGAGAAAACATGTCGCTCAAATTCAGCCCCTTACTGAGTTCCTGGGGTGACAGGCACTTTATCATGTGGTAAGAATTCGTAGACAGGTTGCCTAGATTTTTCCTGACATTTGAGTGGGGTATGTGGAGGTTGCAGTTCACTGTCAGATTTTATGTCATTTAATCCATTTCCAAAATCATTCCCACTAAAAAATAAGGTGGCCAAGGGTCTTTAGGCTGTATCACCAGCAGGAAGCCAGCCTTGGAACCCTCCCCTTGTGGCTGAAGCAACAACAGTGATTTCTCCCTTTCCAGGTTCTTTGCTCATCACGAGGGTGATCTTTCAGGCGTAGCCAAGGTTTAGAGGGCAAGATTTGTGGACTCCCTTCATTAAATCCTTTTCTCTTTTCCTTTTTAGAGGGACGCATGGTCATCCAGGATATTCCTGCTGTCACCAGCAGAGGGCATGCCGAGAACACGCCTGACCTGGTGTCAGACCCCGCCTACTACAGCAGCTTTTACCAGCCATCTCTGTTTCCTTACTACAACAATCTGTACAACTACCCGCAGTACTCCATGGCTCTGTCTGCTGAGTCCTCCTCTGCGGATGTGGGAAATCCCCTTGGGGGATCCCCTGTGAAGAACAGCCTTCGGAGTCTGCCAGGACCGTATGTGCCTGCGCAGTCTGGAAACCAGTGGCAGGTATGACCCGGAGTTAATGGGATATGCGAAACACACATGCATGTGAGATGTACATGCATGCATGTATGTGCCATGCACATTCAACACACACGTAGTCACATTGTGAAAAAGCACGTTGGTTTTTCTTTCCGGCTGTTGTTAATATTTAACTTCAGAGTTTGGATTGCAGGGGCTTTGGAAGGGATTGTGCATGCTATTTGGGTTGATTTTTCAGTTTTGGCTTCTCACACATTGTCAATTTGCAGAAATCCCCAGCTGTGTCCCCACCTCCTCCAGCCTTCCCTACTTGGCAGCTTAGGATCTATTAGGTGCAGTTTCCTGGGTGGAGTCATCTCCCCGAAAATTTTTACACTGGGAGAGAAAGTATTATTATGTATGTGATTGCATGGCAGAAAGGTTTGAGAGGGAATTAAGTTGTGTTGCCATGGCCCAGTAACATAGGTGGGTATTTTTTAGAAACAGGTATCAGTCTTTTAAAGTACACCCACATATAATATTAAAATAGTGTGCGGTCAAGAGCTTTCGACATTTGGAGTGTTTTGCTTCACTGGGGAAAAGAGCTTCTTCTGGAGTGACTTTGCTTCTGAGGGCAGAACAGCTTCCATCACGTCATTCATTGCATCAGCACCAGGAGCACCCGGAGGCGAGGTGATGGTGTGTACTTACATCCTAGGAGTGTGTAGCTGAGAGGTTAGACACACATCACCAGGCCACGGAAGATGCTGTGATTCTGCAGGAACTGTTGCTCACCCTGGCTGTGTGAACATGGCTGAGGCTTTCTCGGCAAGCGTTTGACTTCAATTCCATGTAACATGTATCTTGAAGTTGGTGCAGGTCTTTGATGCCCTCTTTTCTCCTTACTTTTCTTAGCTTTATTGAGGTATAACTGACAAATTGGACACATTCATATCTTACACTGTGTTGGCCTGGTGTACGGGGCCACTGTGTATTGCTGACCACAGTCAGGCTAATGAAGGTACCACCCGTGTGTGTGCTTACATTCACTTAGGATTTAGTCTGCATTTTTCAGATACCAAGCATTATTGATTATAATGGTCACATTGTACATTAAACTTCCAGAACTTAAATTGAAAGTAGAAACTTTTGATGTATGTCTCTCCTCTTTCCTAACCCTAAGCCTCTGGAAGTCAGTGTTGTAAATTTCTGTTTCCAAGAGTTAAGTTTAAATTACTTTTCTTTTTTCATTTTTTTTATATTCCAATCCCAGTTCCCCCTTCCCCCTCTCCTCCTGCTTCCCCCACTCCTCTCCACCTCCCATTTGTTCCTCAGAAAATGTAGGCCTCCCCTAGTAAGTCTACTAAGTCTATCCCATCATCTCACTGAGGCAGAACCAATCCTTCTTAAGACAACTTATAAAAAAATTCTTTTTAAAGTCAGGTAATTATTAATACTCAAGGCCTCCCACTTTGGGGAGTCTCTTGCCATGCTCAGGGACCTGACTCGTCCTGTGAGTTTCAGATTTCTCCTAAGTTTCCCAAGCCCTTTACATTTTTGTGTGTGCATATAGGTATGCATGTTTGCATCTATGTGAGCCAGTAGACATGTGTATAGAGGGCATTGTGAGCCAGTACACATGTGTATAGAGGGCATTCAGAGGCCAGAGGTTGACTTGGGTGTCTTTCTTAATTGCTCTCCACCTTATCCAGCGAGGAAAGGTCTCTCTCTTGAATGCATTTTGCTTGTGGGATTTCCTGTCTCTACCCTTCCATGATGGGATTATGGGGAGGCCACTGTGCCTGTCTGATGGGCATTATATGGGTCTAGGAGATCTGGTCCTCCTGCTTGTGTGGCAAGTACTTTGCTCCTTGTGTCATTTCCTCAGCCCCACATTTCACTGTTTGGACGGAGACTTAAAACTTTCAGGTATTGGAATTGAGAGGTGTTGTGAGGATGACAGGAGTCTGATGGGCTCCCACCTGGACCTCTTCAGACCCTCCAAGCATAGTAGATTTTATGGTTTGGAGGTTTCCTGTGGCGAGAAAGAAACATCTTAAAGATTCAAACAAGCCAGGATCTGGTGGTGCACGCCCTTAACCCCAGCACTCAGAAGGCAGAGGCAGATGGATGGATCTCCAGGACAGTTAGAGCTACACAGTGAAACCCTGTCTTGAAAAACAAAGAAGATTTAAACAGAGCAGACCCTCTGGCTGGTCCTGCAGAGGCCCTGGGTTGTCAGTTGTCACTGGCCAGTTTTCTGGCTGTTTTTAGTCTTTGGCAATAGGGTAGTTGGGTGGATCTGTGAACCTGATAAGTTAGTCGATAAAGGCTGAGGAAAAGACAACCATCTCCATTTGAACGTTAGTCACATCTTCTAAACCAGGGGTCTCTTCCTTTTGTCAGAACCATTGCAATAGCTGCTAGTCCCTGACACAATGATATTGGCCTCGCTCTTCCACCAAGGACTAGCAAAGGCATGCTGCGTGAGGTCTGGAGATGTGGCCGCTCACTGGGAACATCTTGCTGTGGCCTGGAGGGTACCTCCTGTTGTGCCCAGAGTAAGACCACCCTTCTCCTCATGCAGAAGGGGAAAGGCATATACTATGAGAAGCTTTACTTAGACACACATACAAGCCAGCCAGAGTGGGATGGGAAACTGGAAAACTTCCTTTGTCCTGCAAGAGACAGATATGGTGTTTAGCGCCTTCCCACAAGCCACCAGACAGGAAAGACCCATCATTTTTCTAGCCCTAGGGAGTACATGGAAGTATCATTTCATATGGGATTTTGTTTCCTCAGAGGCCCGTATTTAAATCCCATCTTCCAGATGTTCTCAGTAATATGTTCTCATGTAACAAGCTGCTTTGGGGCAAAAGGGCCTCTGTCCTGCTGCAGTAGATGTTCTGAATAACACAAACAACAAAAACTGTCATTTATTGAGCAGTTAGTTATTGCTGGTTTTCTTTCTTTCTTTTTTTACTCTTTGGGGGCCATCACCTAGCTCCCAAATAAATACACAGAGACTTATTTGTACTTATGAATGCCTGGCCTTAGCTTGGCTTGTTTCTAGGCAGCTTTTCTAACTTAAATTAACCTGTTTCTCTTCCTCTACATTTTGCCTCTGGGCTTTTGACCTTTCTTTATTCTATGTCTTTCCCCCTTTCTTACTCCCTGTGACTGGTCGTGTGTCTGGGTGGCTGGTCCCTGTGACTGGTCGTGTGTCTGGGTGGCTTGTGACTGGTCGTGTGTCTGGATGGCTGGTCCCTGTGACTGGTCGTGTGTCTGGGTGGCTGGTCCCTGGTGTCCTCTTCCCCTTTTCCTCAGCTCACTCCTAGCTCTTCTCTCTTGAGCCTAGATTTCTCCTCCTATTTATTCTCTTTGCCTGGTAGCCCTGCCTATTTCTTTCTGCTGTCTAGCTATTGGCTACTTAGTTCTTTATTAGACCAATCAGGTGTTTTAGACAGGCAAAGTAATACAGCTTTACAGAGTTAAACACATGCAACATAAAAGAAAGCAACGTATGTTTGCACCATTAAACAAATATTCCAGAGCATAGACGAATGTAATACATCCTAAACTAAATTAATATTCCACAATGGTTAGTACTGCCTATTTTCCAAGGGGAGGAATGATACTGTCATTTTTAAATGATGAGGGCATAAAAGATTGAAAGAATGACTTTCCCAAGGTCCCTCTCACCACCAAGAGAAAGAAGCAGGGTTTGAACTTGTCTGTCTGGCTTTGAAGTATGAGTGAGTAGGGTTTGACCATCACTGGGTCTGCAGCCAACTCAAGACTGAAGAATGTGCCTTGCAGGAGCTGTCTGTGAGTGCGGACGCTGGCCATACCTGTGAGCACACTGTCTCTGTTGTCCAACCTCAGCTGTGGGTGGACCCCCTATAAAAGCTCAGGCCCTTTGTTGGAACTGTCTGCTGTTTGTCTTCACCCATGCTGGTTAGAAACAAGCACAGGTGTTTTGAGGAGAGCTGATTGTGGCTGTTTGAGGTGGCTGTGAGGGTAGCATTCTCCCGAGTTCCCGAAAGACATAGTTCCATGGGTCACTGTCTAAAAGAAGCTGTGTCTCACTAATTTGAAGTTCCTTTTGGAATCTGCGTAACAATTTCCTCAAATGTGATGGCAAATAAGGCACATGGAGGGGCGTTCTCAATGTCTGTGTAACAAAGAATGATCCTAAGAGACGAGTAAAGGGACTCTGATATGGCAGCTTCCTCAAGCTTGACATAACCAACTATAAACACACTTGACTTTTTAAAAAAATGCACCCCTCCCCCCGATTCTGTTGGAAATAAATTCGTACATTCAAACAGAGCCAGCATAGCTCTGTTTGCTGAAAACCACATGCAGATCAGCACAGTGATGAGCAGGCCTGAAATGGGTCCTGGAGTTCTCACTCCATCCGAATCCGCTGTGAGAGTTGCAGAGGTGCATGACTCCACGAAAAGGCCTGCCGCCGATGGGAAACAGGGCAGAACTGGAGTTGTAACCCTGAAGGTCCACATCCAGTTACAACTTTCGATTTAGCCGCATTACCATGAGCGGGCACTCTGCTCCAAATCTCAGCTTTCTTAACCTTGCTACTTTGAATGCCATTGTGTGTTGGGGCTCAGTATGGATGTTTTTCAAACAAAGACCTCTCATGGTTCCTAGAAAATACGTATTGTAGGAGAGATCATAATTTTATTTCAAAGACAGACTTCCTAAAAAACAAACAGGGCATCCATTTTTACATCGGAAAAAGACATTGACTCTTATGTGGAGTTAGGCTTCCTGCATGCCTAGCTTATAAAAGCAAGCAAGCCACAGACTGACTCAGCACCTACTGAGTACCAAATCTGTGTGTGTGTGTGAGAGAGAGAGAGACAGACAGACAGAGAGAAACACTCTTGCAAGTTTGAGAGAGGGAGAGAGAGAGAGAGACACACACTCTTACAAGTCTGCTTCCTCTCCCAGCCTCTGGGGGTGGCATCCTGGAATCCCAGAGTGTGCATCCTGTGAACACCACCATGCGTGCTGAGAACAGC